TCAGGAGAGGTCTGCCGGGCCACATGGGTCACCTCCGGGGCAGGCAGGGATCAAACTCATGCAGAAGTGACTTTAGCTTCTTAGTGCTGTGCTTTAACCTGCTGCGCAACCAGGCTAGGGCCTGTGATGAAAAGTTTTATAATCTTACTCTTTGCAGCTTTCAAATAAACATTACAGTATTATGAACTGTAACCCTGACATTATATCCGTGAATGTACAATTAGTTTAAAATTTTTTAAAGTGGACGACCTGTGCTCATTCTGTTTCCATACTCTGGTCAAGAATGATGTTGTTAATAGAGACTCCTTATAAGAAGACCTGTATCTTGAATGTTAAAAGAAAAAAAAATTGCCTGTAACATTAGTCTGTAAGTAATAAGGTTTAGAAAACTAATCTTCCATTTTATTTAGATAATTTTCAGGAAAATCTGGTAATTATTACATCTAATTCCTAAGATTCATCCACACATAGCAGAAAGTCATCCAATTTCGCGTCATACCATTGAAGAGAGATATGTGTCTTCATATTTCTACCTACATGTCTGAATTCAAGTGTCAACCCTAGCTTCCAGGAATACATTTTACAGCGTAGGTGTGAAGGATCTGAGATTTAGAGGAGGCATTGAAAAATTACTTTAGAGCACCAGTTCCTCTGTATGGGGGACCTGGCTTTTTTTCTTCCTCTGTTGGAGAAAGAGCTGAACTTTGGTGCTACATAAAACGTCAGGGTAAAGATAGTCCTACGCCAGGAGCAAGCACAATGTAAAGAGGCTGGCTATGGGCCAGTCCTTTCGAACTGCAAGTCCCTGGAAAGAGTCAGAATGTAAGCTCTAGGCCCTCCAGACCTGCCTGTCTGGGACTTGTGACAACTCAGCGACATTCCTGTGATTTAATGGTATACAAATCTGTCTAGAAATATTCTGAGAATGTTTATTTTCACTTGTTGTTTAAACACTCAGATTTCTAGTGTGGATAATAGGATATTAGATAGAGCTGGTTAAGAGGATATTAGATAGAGCTGAAGCAGTCTCATCGAGGAAATAAGAGAGAAAGAACCTATAGGCCCTTCACTTGAGAGGCCTGCCAGGGCACTCTTTGCTTCCAAGACCCAGGAATGGAAGTGATGGCAGGCAGAATGGAAAGTTGAGATGCTTGTGTGGGAAGTATTGAGGATACTGAGAGAAGAGAGTGAGGATCTTGTTAACATAAGACAGAGCTCATGAAACACTTCTGTCTCTCTTGCAATTATTCAACACAATCTTAGGTCTCTGTTCTTCAAATGCAAAAGTTTGGTTACATTTGAAAATTGAAGAACATCTTGTAACCATTGGTTTTGCAGATTTCAAGGGGTGGGAAAGAAGAGGAGGGGGGAGAGAGAGAGAGGATTCACCAGAGAGATGGGGGGGGGGGGCGGATTCACCAGAGAGAGAACTTGTTCTAACCCTTCTTCATGTCCTGACCTTTTTTCAGAAAGGCCCTAGTAGGAAAGTTAGAAAAAACCAAGACATCAGCAGAAAATTCTAAGCAGCACTGCACCCTTGCTGAGAATTCCTACTGAGGAAGAGACATTCTCATGATGCTTGCACCCTTCACACCTCTCAGTCTCCCAGCTGCATAGTTTCTGTGAACTCAAATCTGTAGATTCCTTTTATTAACTGTGTTCAATGTCATATCTACACCTCCCATTCCAATATTAATACCCGTTTTTTTCCTTTTTGCCTTCAGGTTTCAATTTTTACATTTAAATCTTATTTTGATATCTGGTAGGGATCTAACGTTTTTTCTTCCTCCCTGAGTGTGAGTACTTAGCAGCCAACAACACTTACTATTATTAAGTCTACTTACCCCCGATTGTTCATCCACCTTTAAAACAACCACCTCTCTCAGATGCCATACGTGCTCAGATCTCAGCCACTCTGAATTTTGGCTTTCGTATTCTTGACAAATTACCATTTCGGTCCCTGGCGTGGTGCCCTGCAGCCTACCAGAGACTTGGTTTGGGCAGCATTACCATCTTTTTCTATGCAAAGACTGCGTGGTATTTAAATACTTTGTTTTATTTCACTCATGTTTGATAACAGTTAATTGAAAAGGAAGTTTGTCAAGGTGTTGGTATTTGCAGAAAAAAGTCAACCCTGTAAGTATACTGTTAAGGACAATATTACTCAGGTCCCAAAAAAAGTGACAATCTTTTCTTCTCAACCAAATGAATATTGAACTTAAACTGGTTAGCTGAGGCTATGAATGTGAAATAGAAAAGTCAAATTAAAGAGCATTAATATGACTGTGGGAATACATTATCTTAGATCACCTAAGTGAGAGAGGGAGTGCCTGGCCTGAAATAATGCCAGAGCGCCTGTAAAGAACAGGAAGAGACTTCTCTAAACAAAACTGGGCTGAAGACATAACTTGGTGTCACTTTGTGCCCTTTGATTCACTTCTATATGCAGCTTGTCCAAAAGTGAACCAGTGATCCAACCAAATTAAAACAATGCAATAAAGAAGAAGAAGAAAAAAAAGCCAAACCCGCTCAGCTATTTTGAGTCTTAATTTCACAAGTCAGTAGCCAGCTATCCTCTCTTGACCCCCCACACAAACCACCCCCAAGTCCTATTTTAGACACCAGCCACTGAAATACCTTGTTCCATCATTTCTCGTCCTTCATCATCACCACCGGGGGCCGGGACACCTTGTCCTGGGCCTGAACTATGCAGTGGTCCCATAATTAATCTATCCTGCACATTCTCCGCACTCTAGCCAAGAACTTTCTTCTTTCTTAAAGAGAAAGTGTGGTCATGTCAACACACCTGATTAAAACATTTCGAGGCATGCATTGTTGTCATGGTGACTGTAGTCTTTAATGAACCCCCCTCAACTTTTTCAAGGTTTCCTCACACTCACCCATCTTAGGTCTCCTCACCTCAGTCTGCTCCTTGCCTCTGGGCAAGTGCCTGGAATGCCTCTGCTAATCCCAGAGTTTACGCACCATCCTGAGACTGTGGGTGGGCCTCCCCTGCTCCCATGGCCATGGCCCCCATCTGTAGTCTCATGACAGGTGTGATGCATTTGAGCCCCAGTGTGCCGGGACCATATCCACATTTACTCATCATTCTATTCCTGGTGGCAGGCACAAAGGAGGGTCTCAGCTAGTATTTTTGGATGTTCTCATTTGCCCTATTGATGTCTAAACCTGAAAAACAAGATCTATCTAGAATTCCTTGTATTTTAGAGTAGGTATTCCAAAATATTTTTCATTTTGTATTTTTACTCATAGATTTGATGTAGCCATCATAAGAAGAGAATGCTCTTTCAGTAGAATATTGTCTTTTGCCTTTAGAATGCCTTCTTATTTGTCTTGCTTGGAATCTGAATCTCAGAATTTCATAGACTACAAATCTTAGGATTAGCATCCATTTTCTAGATGGCGCCCAGTTAATCTTACTATTTATGTTTATTTTACTTTGAAAGGCATATAACTGTAAAATACCGTTTGGGAGGGAAAGGAGAAAAAATCATCTGTAATTCTCCCACTAATATATGATCTTTTGATCTTTATTTTTAGACAAAGATACTCACAGTGTATGTAAAAATATTGTCTTTTTTTCTCCTAAATAACTTGTATGTGATTGATCATTAAATTGTACATGCCATATGCCTGCAGTTCAATTCAACAAGTATTTATTAAAGAGCACACTTTGCTAGGCACTGCTGTGTACACATTATGCCATTGAAAGAAAATACACAACTTGGGACTTCAAAATACAGATTGTGATACTTGCATGATAATGGAATACTGTCATTCCAAAGCTTTTGGTGACACTTTCACCTTACAGGTATATTAATTTTGTGATTTCTTTAGCCCCCAAGGAGGAAAGTGCAAGGTTTTCCTCTATTTGTTTAATAGCTTCTTTCTTCATTTAGTTGATGGGTTTACTATAATGCACTGAAAACGAAGTACACGCTTCAGTGAGTCCAACGGGGTCCCAGCATCCCAGTGAGAGAAAACATGAATGAATTAGTGAATAAGGTGATAAGTAAAGAAGAAAAGAAAAACTGTAGGATGAGAGGGATGGACAATGGTGTGGTGTGGAGGAGCTGCCCTTCCACAAGGTCAGGGAATGCCTCGCTGGTGACATTTGAGCCCAGACCTAAATAGAGGGGGGCGTGACCCGTGCAGCTGTCAAGGGGATTTTTCCTGGCAGAGGGCTTTGCAGGTAGAAGGGCCCAAGGTGAACATGCTTGTTGTTTTCAAGGAATTGCAAGGAACCAGGGGTGGACAGAGAGTAGTAGGAGCTGAGGTCAGTGTGGGGCTAGTAGCCCTGCGGGGGTGGGTCCCATGGACCATGGTAAGGCCTGTGGGTTTCCCTGAGTAAGATGGGAAGAAGCTGAGTCATGTCATCACCTGGCTGGTGCTTTACCAAGGTGGATTCCTTGTCCAGCCTCCTCTATTCCTTCTGGAGGTCCCCAGGCCGCATCTTTGTCACCCTCTGGATGAGTCACTTTGTACCAGAACCTGTAAATCCTCTTTCAGGCTCACCATCTAGTCATTATGTAAAGCACTTATTCCTCGTCTGAAGTGCAGAGATCTAACTAGCTACCGCCCAGGTGTCACAGACTCATGCTTGGTAATCCCTGGTCCAGGAGATCAGGTGTTTTGCATATCTTCAGAAAACCTAATTCTGAATTTCTCCCTTCTTTTTTGTTTGTTTGAGGGAATTGTTTGCTTTCTGAAATAATGACCAAATCTGTTTGTCAGATTATTTACCAACGTTTTTTATTAAGTCTTACTATCATTCTATAATTATTAAGCTGCTTCCAGAAATCAGCTTTTGCTGGAGGAGTGGTGGAATTTTGCCTAATTATAATATTCCTTAAGTTGCTTTATGTCACATGCCAAAATTAGTTCCAATTAGTAGGCTTAAAGCAACTTATTTCTGAAAGAATAAACTGTTTCAGGTTGCTTAAGAGTAATTGATTTCTTTTGTTTTCTTTCTATTACAGGAGGAGACATCACAGCTTTCCCAGATTGGGAGTTAAAATATGGAATGTGTTTTACTGCTGACTGAACACAACCGAATGAACTGTACTGACAGTAGTTTGAAAACCAGCAGTTAGCAGTTTGTTCAGGCTCTAACATTATCCAGCACTTTCCAGAACAAACTCACTGTTTACAAGAACTCTCGGCCTTACGACGTTTATAACCTCAAGCTTTGTTTATTTAAAATATTTCTGCGAAAGAAAAGTACCCGGAGCCCCCTTTCCAAAATGGCCATGGATGAGTATTTGTGGATGGTCATTTTGGGTTTTATCATAGCTTTTATCTTGGCATTTTCTGTTGGTGCAAATGATGTTGCCAATTCATTCGGTACTGCCGTGGGCTCTGGTGTGGTGACCTTGAGACAGGCGTGCATTTTGGCTTCAATATTTGAAACCACTGGCTCAGTGTTGCTTGGAGCCAAAGTAGGAGAGACAATTCGAAAAGGTATCATTGATGTGAACCTATACAACGACACGGTAGAAACACTAATGGCTGGGGAAGTTAGTGCAATGGTTGGTAAGTAATATCATTTTCTACACAATGTCTATCCAAATGGATTTTTGCTTTAACTTTGCAAAAACTGATTGTTTGACATTTACTCTATGTCATTTTTGCTTTTGCATTTTAATTTATAAGTGTTTGAGTTCAAATATCATGACTTCTCACAGTTTTAGCAAACTTGGTTATTAAAATATATATAAGCTAATTATTATTTTTTAAGTACAAGAAAATATTATAGAATAAATGTCACCAAAATTTTTTGAAATTGATTAAAGGAATAACTTTTTTGTCTGATGGAATTTGTTTGAAATGCAATTTCTTTAAAGGTTTATGTCTAGTTTTCATAGATTTCTTTTATCGGTTAGAATACAATATTTACAAAACTTTGATGCTAAAAAACACTCGTAATTAAGTTTTTGTATTTGCCCTTTAAATTTTAGAGCAGTTACCAAACCAACTTAGCATGCTCATATTTCAACAAATTCTGGTCCTCTATGTTCTTTGTAATCCTTTTGTTAGTTTTTGTTTTGATTTTCTGTTTCTACCTCTAGGAGTTCCATTTGGTATGCTTGCTTTGTTTTCTAGCCAAAAAACCATTTGTGTGTCACCTGTTTATAGCATGACCTTTTATTGGTAGTTTCCAGTTGTCTAAATGAAAGACAGTGTTTGGGACAGTGAGCTATTGAGCAGATTGAGTAGATGGTGGGATTTCTCCATTGCCCAGTGTGACCACCAGCTGAAACATGATGGGGGCACTTTGCTCACTACCCTGCGACCCCTGAAAAGAAAGTTCCAGACAGTGTTGCATTTATTAGTGCAGCTGAGAGGACTTTCCCCTGCTTGCCTCTAGCAGACAGCTGATCTATATGGGTAATTCTTTAGGGAGACGTGGGTTAGAGAGGAATTCTATCCTCTTCTACTTTCAACAGGACATCTCCTTTTGTAGGAAGAGTCCTGCAGCAGGAGATAAGATGCTGGTGTACCAAGAACACAGGTGTTAATTGCCACTGGCCTTTCTTAAGCATCCAGAGTGTGGATTATTTAATAAAGTTAAGATGACTCATCACCTTTTTAATCGTAGCTAGTTGAGAAGTTGTTGAGGCATCTGTTCTGAAGCAGACTGATGTCCTAGGTCATCAAATATTACAAAGCACAATAGGTGAGTAAAACTTGATAAGGAGTTACTGTTTCTGAACTTCACATTTTGTGTTTTAAAGATGAATGGTTCACAGTCGTTTGAGTTACAGCAGCTACTGTAATGATTAGATTTTACTTAACCTTTGCTGAATAGCTTGTCTTTGTCAGACATATTTGAAATTTCCCTAGGAAAAATGTATTATTCATACCTGCTAGTCATGATCAGTATCTAAAAGGTAATCATATTGAGCTGAAGGTAAGATTTTTTTACTTTCAGTGTAAGTGTAATACAGGCAAGGTATGTTGGAATGTAGGAGATAAACAAGAAAAACTGAGTAATCAAGTTTTAGCAGGCCTTTATTCTTTCAGTAGACGCAGCTGGGAAGGGATTGTGGCTCTTAGGGAAAAGAGGTATCATTGAGCTACATGAGGCCCCCTGTTCACCTTGTGAGCTGAACTTCATCGTGTCAGGGCTAACTCTTCCTTTGGACAGAATAACGTGTCCAGCTTTTAAGGTTTCCCACTGCTGGCCTTTGGCTCTTGACTGAAAGAATGAAGACTACTTATCTCAACTAGAATTTAGGTTAACCAAAGCAATTTGGGGTTTTGCTTGAATAGTTTGATTTTGTTTGCTTTGGTTTCTTTTGAGGGGGTTGTGGTTAGATGATTATCAGAGCTTGTTTTGTTGGGAATTTGTAGGAGTTACCTAGGTTTTTTAAACTGGATTTCTTGAAAATGGGGCTTATGTAAATGTAAGATGATGGTGTAATTATTAGTGGCAAAAACCAAAACTGATTCTTTTCAGATTCTGGAATTCTCCCAGTTCTCCTCTTCTGAACTCAACATCCATCTGACCCCTTCCTCTCTCTCTCCTCTGCCCTTTTATCCTATTCTCTTTTATTTTTTATCTTTTTCCTTTAGAAACATCTCCCCAAGCTCATGTGCCTCTGTGCTTTCTGCTAGAGTCATGGTAGCATTAAATGGGTTGGGTAGAATAAACTGTCAGTGCTAGTTAAACACCTGCACAAGTTATCCTTGGGGATTCTAGCTGGGCCTTGAAGCTTTCGTCAGGCCACTCAGTAGGATCCCAACGTTTCCAAAAATGAACCAAAAATTCAAAACTCAGCAGCTTCTCAAAAACTCTCAAGAGCACGAACAAACCATCTCCTTCAACTTCCAGCCTGGGACAGGCACGAACCCCCAAAACTCCCTAGATTCATGCAGCACTGTGCCTTCTCCCTGCTGGCAAGTGCTCACCCGCCTGTCTGCCTCCACGTCACACTGCTGTTTGCTCGGCTGCTCTGGCCTCTTCTCAGGAACCTGCGGCTTCAGAGATCCTCTCTTTAGCTCCTCTCTGCCTAGGTTTTGCCTGACTCCCCTGTACCCCCCTGTAATTCTTTGTAGGATGCCATTATCTCAGGTGTATGAGAGGAGGTTCATATACATAGTAATGGTAAAGGAAAGGATATTTCCTTCTTTTTGTCACTGTTTTTCTTGACATAAACATAACCCCATTGGCCTTCAGCACTGAGGTTAAGGAGGCTTAGCTTCGATGCTGACCCCCGCCTCCTCCTCCTTTTGCAGCTGCTGCTTCTCTCCTTCCACTGGCCTGCTTTTTTCCTTCTTCCTTTTCCCAGGCAGCCTTGGCACTCCCCATCTTTCCTTGCACAGTCAGTCAGAGAGAAAGGATAGCAACTGTTTTTTTTTTTAGGATAGCAGCTTTTAAGAAGGAAAATCTCCTGCATTCAGTTGGCTGATTTTATTCCATCCTCTTAACATCACTCAATTGTTTTAATTTCTGTAAGAATGTAAATCATAAAGTTTGTTTTCAAAGCTACAGCTCTTTGCTGAGATATGTGCTCCAAACTCTGGCTTTATTTTTCAAACAGCTAGTCCCTGCCCAGCCCTGAGCTTAGATGTGAGGCTTGATCCCTGTGCACAGGGATGCCTGCTGCCGCGGAGTCCATCACCAGCTTGGCAGTGCAGGCTGGCCCTTCCCCTCCAGCACACGCTCCAGGGATAGCCACCGGGTCACAGCCCCAAGGTCAGCGTGCCCAGTGCTCACAGAGTGGCTTCACCACTCGGCCAGTGCCTCTTTCAGTGACCCTCGGAAACGCAGAAAACACCCAGGATCTGCTCAGAAGTGCTGTTGCTGCCCAGCAACCAGATTTCCCGAATTAACATTTGGAATTAATAACATGCCCTGCTTATCTGCCAAGCCCTTTGTTCCCTTACCATTCTGTATGAGCTTTTCAACAACTTTTCTGAGAGTGGTCTTTCCCAGCCGATGCTTTTAATACTGACTGCAAAATTTGATCTGCTTATGAAAATATCTGAAGTGAACTGTGGCCTAGAAAAACATTAAGCTTGGAAAAGAGTGGTGAAATTGAGGTAAAAGGACACAAAGCCTAAACTCAGGGATCCATTTAACTCCTAAGAAGGAGAAAGCTTGAGGGAACAATGAATGAATCGGCCCAGCCTTCGGGGCAGGGGCCGAGAGCATATGTCCAACTTTGGGCTAAATATTATAGTTACTTCTCAAACGAGCGGCAGAAGGCACAAGAACAACATGGCATAACTGTGTCTTGCCCAGCCTGCGCCCTCCTAGCCAGCAGCTAGCCCTGGTCACTCTGTGACTGCGAGGCCTTGCTGCAATGAGATCTTGCCCACGATGCAGCCTGCCTTGTGCCTCTGTGCTCATCATGAGTCTTCAATCTCTTGCTTGGTCTCGGCCACACTTTACATCAGAACGAGTTATCATCCACACAAGTACCTACATGTCACAAAGACTGTTAGTGACTGGCATCAGGAGACTTTTCTTTAAATAAATCTCCATCTGGGGCCCTCCCTGGTGGTGCAGCAGGTTTAAGCACAGCACTAAGAAGCTAAAGCCACTTCTGCATGAGTTCGATTCCCGCCTGCCCCGTAGGTGACCACATGGCGCGGCAGACCTCTCCTGACCCTCC